ACTTTTTCTTTCAGTTTTAAACCTGAATAATTTACTCATTTACCATTTCAGTCTCATTTTAACTAAATGTCACTAAATAAAAATGGAATAAATCAGCTGAAGGTCTCAGCACAGCCGTACGCATAGTAATGCGAAGTTTGAATTCAGAATCATCAAGTCATAGCAAATTTAATGGTATATATAGGGAATTTGAAATAGGTAACTGCGGCAAATGCAGCGCAGCCAAGTTCCAATTAACCATTAAAATAGCTTAGGCGAGGGAGGACAATAAGAATTCTAGGCGCAGTCTGACTGCAGTAGAACCGCAGTTCAGCACAGCAAAAGCGCAGTAGAACTATAGCATGAAATTTTCATTTTTATTCAGTTTGAGAAAAATACACTGTAAATAAATCCTGTAAATAGAAGGTAGAGCGTGAAAAAGGAAGGCAACCCAAGGAGTATAAAAGGGAGACCCTTTCTGCGACTTTTCGCCCCCCTTAGAGAAGTAAGAAAATAGAGTATTATTTTTCTCAAGCATTTCTGGTTGTCACTCCAGTGCGAAAAAGTGATATACAGTTAAGATTGCCACTGTAGTAAAAGGCAGCAATAAAGGAGAGAAATATTAAGTAGATATTTCAACAGGAGAGCTGGTTAACACTCCAGATTTCAAAGTGTAAACACAAAACAGTTATTTTGCTACTGTTAAAACAAGCAATAAAATAAGACAAAAATAGAACAAACTCAAGGGACACTCCAGACACAATCCAAATTCATTAACTGAATAAAATCTTTGAAACTTCACTAAGTAGAAGATTAAATTCAAGTTTAAATCCAAATTAAACAACGCTACACAGAATTACACCTAGACAAATTAATAAATTTCAATAAAGAAACAGCTCCGCAGGGCTCGGTTTATCTGTAAGTCAATTCCCAGGAACTTTAAAACTAACCCATAAAAATAGAATTAGCCAAAACACTCGGATTGGTACTTTATTTACAATAAATAACACTAGTACACTTCCCCATCCTAACTAAAGAACCAGGGAACAGCTTGGTGGTGGTCTCGTTTGAACCTCCCAACTGACCTTCCTTCGTTCTCTCCTTCACCGCTTCGAGGGTGGTCCCATTCAGATGAAATCCCTGCCATTCACTTGCCTGTCACCATTCTCAGTGACCCATTCACTTCCATTCAGTCCCCCGAACATGTTCCCATTTCAATCCCTCCTGGAGAGTCGCTCACATGATCGTGGACGTGAAAACGAATGAACAAACAAACAAATAAACCACAACAAATGATGAATTGCAACCTGCATGCCATCGCTTTTCGTTTCGTCACCCTCCCCTCCTGCATGCTCGACTTGGAAGTGCTGAAGACAAAGGGGCCGACATCAACGAAAGAGGGTGAGTCCACATGGCTCACATGGAACGGCACAACAACGAATCGCGACCCGCACATCGTCGCTTTTCGTCCCCTCTGCACACTCAACTTGGAAGCACTGAAGAAAAAGGCAGGGACATCAGTGAAAGAAGGTGAGTGGCAAAGATGAAGGCAGTGAGTCCACATGGCTCACACAGAACACACACAACAGTGACCTGGATTGATAATGGAAATGCGCATCGTCATCACAGTTCCCCACCCCCAAAAGCCACCTCGCCGTCATCGCTGCGCTGGGATCACGGAGGTGAGTAATGAGGCAGAGCAGAGCGCCTGACATGGATCATCACGCGTTCCACACCACACAATGCCGCTGTCAGGGACTCGTCTGGGGTCGAGGGAGCCCGGGTGTAGCGTCCGGGGCTGAGAGCCTGGCAGGGGGCGGATCGGGCGTGCGTACTGACAGGCCCGATGCGGGACAGTGGTCCCTGGCCACTTAGACTGAAGTGGAAAGTTGTTATTATCATTAAAGGAGAAATACTGTACTACTTACCTGAAGTGGAAAGTTGAGAAGAAGGCTATTCTTCGGTTCTGTCAGGGACCGACCCGGGGTCGAGAGTGCCCGGGTGTATCGCCCAAGGCTGAGGGTCCGGTAGGTATGACGCGGGCGCGCGTAGCAGCGGGCCCGAAGCAGACAAGGGTCCCTGGCCACTAAGACTAAAGTGGGAAATGTGTTATTGTCATTATCAAGGGAAGTGTAAGCTACTTGCCTAAAGTGGGAAATGTGAGAAGAAGGTTGCTTCTCAGTTCCCACTTAGGCTGTGTTTATATACATGTGGTTGAAGGCCACGTGGGAAGCGCCACGTCATCCGAGCACACAGCCACCTCCGTCTGGGTACCTCCGTAAGAGGTCCTAGGAGCGTCCGGTGTGTCCGGGTTCGGGCGCGTTACGCTGCAGCCAGGTCAATGGTACATTGATACAAAGGAAGTCGTCCGTGTGATAAGAAAGGAATAAAGAGGAGAGAGAATAGAAAAGAAGGAGAGGAAGGAAGGGAAGGGAGAAAAGGGGAAGAGGGGGGAGGTCGGGAGGAGTGGATGGTGGGGCACCGGGTTAGGTGGGGCCGGGTCAGGCGGGCGTGCCCTGACAGGTTCCCACTTCAGGTTCGTTTATATACATGCGGCTTAGATCACGTGACAGGTGCCACGTCACCCTTGCACACAGCCGTAACCACCCGGGTGTCTCCGTGGGAGATCCCGAGGCCATCCGGTGCATGCATGCGTGCTGGGCACAGCGGGAAGTCGCCCAGGTGCCTGGGCCGGGTACATGGTGGGTGTGCAGCAGATGGGTCAATGGTACATTGATACAAAGAAGGTCATCTGTGTAGAATAAAGAGAGAATAAAGAAGAAGTAAGATAGGAAGAAAGTGAGGAAGGGAGAATGAGGAGAGAGGAAGGGGAAGGGGGAGGAGGTGAGGAAGGGTGGACAGCAGGGTACTGGGTCAGGTTGGGCCGGGTGGAGCCGGGTCAGGCGGGTGTGCCCTGGCAGCCATGCCTCCCCAACCAACACATCCAGTCGATCCATGTCTGTCCCTGCATGCCAGGCTGGGCTGCAGCGTGCTGAAAGATGGGAGGTGAGTGGAAAAACCATGTATGGCTGGATGCTTGGATGGGACGACTGATGGTTCTTTCTTTCCAAACCCATCAACCCCATCATGCCATCCACTTTAAACTTGAAACGGCATGCTTGGAAGAAAAGAGGTGAGTGAACTGAACACATTGGTGATTGGATATGGGATGATTGACATGCACACTTTGTCCACCACATCGCACCATCACGCAGTGCCAGAGAAAACCATGATGCATGTGGTTTTTCCCTTCCCCCACCTACCACACCAAATGCATGTATGGTGCGCTTGAAAACGAAGTGCACAGATACCCAAGTTCTTGCATCAAAAATGAATGGCTGGACAATGCGACGCAGTAACATGCATCTTTTTTTTTCTCTCCCCCCAACACATCACTTTATTATCTGTTTACTTTTTTGTTTCATTTTGTATCATTGCATTTTTGGTATCAGTAACATGCAGCCAACTATGTTCCTGTGAATCGAGTCTTAAAAAAGATATGAACAACTTGATTCTGGGTGGTAAATGAGATGGCAGAGGGCTTTGCACTCTGTGTGTGTGCGAAGTGGGTCACTTGACTGTTATTACATCATCCTGCTTGCATTACACCCTGGAACTCCATTGCTGTGTCCACACAATGGGGAAGGCAAAACCAACCTCTGCTGCTGCTAAATCTGCCAGACCAGTGGCTAGGAAGAGTGTTCCAACACCTCCAGCTCAAAACATCACATCTGCTGATCTGATCTGCGACAATCTTCTGGCCAAGTCAACTCAAAAGTCTTATGCCTCTGCTGTGTCAGGTGTGCAGGAATGGCTCAAGGAGACGGTGGAAGAGTACACTGCTAGGAGGGGGAATGACATTAGCGCTTGTCTTGTCCCCCTTTTTTGTCATCCTCTTGCTGTGGTGTCTTTTGCCAAGCCAACTGAAGTGACAGTGCTGCTCCTATCCGAGTATATCACCCACCTGGTCACTGTCCAGAAACGATCTTCCAGCCTGGTAGGAGTAACCTATTCAGCATTCAAGAGGCATTTTACTTCCCAGTATGTGGCACCATTTGGTCACCGTTCCGACCATGGCCAACGCAACCCCATGTGAATAGGGGGAAGAGTGGGTATTGGAAACCAAGTCCAATACCAGATGAGTGTGAGGGGAACCCTTGTGAGGCTCAAGTCATACATGATCTGATTAATGCTATCAAGAACAAGCACAAGGTTGAAGGCCGGGTTCGCAACCATGCCTGAGCTATTCGGATTGAGGATATCAAGAAGTTGCAGGGTGTGACAGCATCAAGAGTGCCAGTTGTGCTGTTTCAACGGGCTCTTACCACAGTTGATTCACTTGATGTTGCCCAAAGGGATGCTGTTTGTGATCACTTGATGTTCTCTGCAATTTTGTCTCTTGGTTGGGCCCTGTGGACAAGGTATGGGTATTCTCCTATTGCTTTATTGAGGATCTCTGACTGCTGTCCGGGAATGAAGAGCTCACCAGTATCCAAATCCAACATCTGGATTGGTATCACCAAGAAGCACACCATGACCTGCCACACCTACAGGTTACACTTGAGAATCGCAAGGGTTGGCAGAAGCAGCTTGACTCAGGTAGCTCAGGGAATACAACCCGTGGTAAGTGGTCACTATTTTTGGTGGCTTGGTTGACCTGAGGGTTATTAACTTTAGGTCATGCATACAATCTATACCCATTCCCCTTTGATGACTATGGCACTTTTCATGACCCACACAAGATGCCTGAGGTGGATGCATACAGACATGTTTGCAACTGGATTACATTCCTGCAGCTTCAGTACCATGGTGGAAAAGTCCTGGCTCCCAACTTTCCCCTCTTTCCCTCATTCAACCTCCATAACATTTGCTGGGGTTCAACATTCTCTACAGCTAGTGTCAATGAGCTCCTTGAATCATATGCTAAAGCAGCTGGGCTAAACTCCCTGGGTCTCACATCCCATTGCTTTCGATGTGGTGGAGTGCAATACTGGCTGCTTCATGCCCCTACTGTGGAATGATGGTCTCTTGAGAGGTGTCGTTGGTGGGGAGGCTGGGCTGCTGGTGAAGATGTGAGTGTATCTCCCCCCCTTTCCAAAAACAACGCTTAACTTTCAATATTCTATCAGTCAAATACCCTCATCAAATATGCCATTGATGCTCTTCAAGATAATGAAGTTGATTACAGCGATGCATTGGCCCCAGTCAAGACTGATTATCGAGGATCTCTTGGTGGTGCTGCTTCTGACTCCCAGGCAATGACTGTGGGTGAAGGTGATGCTCAGTTCCAATGGGTCAATCAACAGATATCGACCCTCATTTCGGACTTGAGGACAAGCAATCAGTCTTTGATGGAGCAGCTTGGTCAGGTTGTGGCAGCTGGAGCACATTGTGAGTGAATAGTTTGGTTTTCAGAACTTGTAACTCACTTTCCCTTTGGCTATGCCCCCTTTAGCTCTACCTCCACCTGCTCAGTATCAACAAAACATCTTTATCACCACTCCTTGTCCTTCTCGTCTCCCTCCCATCTCCCATCCATGTAGAGCCACCCAGCCTCCACCTCAAGCAAACCAGATGGTAGACCATCATCCACCTGCTCAGCCAGCTCCAAGTGTCACCATTCCAGGAGTTAGGACTTTGAAGGATGCCATAGATCAATGGCTCTATGGTGATGTCCAACAGGGGCTCCCTATACCACTCAAGGACTGGGATAAGAAAATTTATATGGGAAGGTGTCATGCTAGCATTGGAGCAATTTATGGTAAACGTCGTCAGGTTGGGGAAAGATTTATGGAGTATGTGATCATCTGATAGTGACAGGAATGGGCTAACAATCCCTATGCAGATTGGGGGAGGCTACATTTCTAAGCAGGTACAGCCTTACAATGGATTCCAAATATGGTGATGCAGTCAGGGCAGTGGAGAAGGAGGATAGAATGAGGGGTTTGATCCTGAGTCGTAGGAAAAGAAAATAGCTGTACATATGGGACAAATTGGTTTAGTTTTGGCAGACTTGTTATGGATTTTTTGAGGTGATTGAAGTGATTGAGAGCTGCATTCTTTGGCTTCATTCATTTAGCAACATACACCCTTCTTTTGCAAGAGTAAGTTTTTAGAGGAAACCTTGACTTTGTCATATCCATCACTTTCCATCACCTCTGGCCATCTCCGACAACCTCTGCTCCTTCCACACCAACCTTGGAGTTCCTGAATTCCATGTTCACCTCCACATCCCCTACCACCCTCCCAATTCAATATATTACTGATGCCTCCCTAGTTATGGAATCCTGAAGCCCTCTGGACAGCTCCAATGTCCACAAGTGCACTCCCTGTTGTGTTTTGTGTTGTGGGTTGTTTCTTTCAATCTTCACTTTATAGATAGTCATGTGACTACTGAGTGGTTCTTTACTGTTGTATAAACACTAAAGACCAACTCAGGCAAGTCTCTCCTGTACATTACTGTTTCTATTATTGTATAAACACTAAAGACCAACTCAGGGTGTGCCACCAGCTGAGATACAATACTCCCACCTCCACTAGGCTATTCATTAGCCTTCCCTTCAAGTTTGCCTTTGGACCACCATCCCCATGTCTGCTTTAGGTGACCTCTGCCTTTCCAATTAACCTGAGTTGTGGGTACCATTTAGTTTATTAACCCATGATTATATTACTGTATGTCAGCTTAACCTTAACCTGGCTCCTGCCTCTTGGGGCCTCCCACCTTTGCCTCCATTGTATCTATATATACAATACTTGTAGGTACTGTTAAACAGCATGTGGGGTGCAGTTGTAGACCTGTCCTGGGAAAGAGGATGGAGGGAGAGAACGAGTGGAGGGGCCTTCAGCCTCAGCGACTCTGGCAGAGTGCTGTGCCAACGTTCTATTAACAGTGTGTGGCCCTTAACTTTGTTAGAAGGAGGGCATGGTCTCTGGGGGGATTTCGGTCATCGATTTTGCACTAAGGTGCCATCAACTACAGTACATGGTCTATATACATAAATAAGACCAAAACGGGTACTGTTAAAGAAATGGGTCCTGGATGACCCATTTCTTCCTGTCCTTATAGACAACAACTTGGGTTCATTGACCTCATGTACATAGGGTGGTTTAGTTGTGTAATGAACTTTTGCTGGTGACTGTTGAGCTTCTGACAGAAAGCTGGAACCTCGTGGTGATGGGGATGTGCACAGATGTATAGGATCACAAGTAAAGGGAATGTCCCAAGCTGGACCAGTCAAGAGTTGGGAGCTAACAGGTACTTGGCGCTCGAGGGAGCATACCAGTAGTGAGGGGAATGACAGCTCCTTGAAGGAGCTTCCTAATGTTGGGTTGACAGTGCAAGTGGGAAGGAAAGGCTGGACCACAGTCAAGGGCTTGCCACTCTCCAGCTGCTCCCTCACCAAAGGGAAAGAAGAAGGGGGGTGGGGTGGAAAGGGCACCTAGGGTTTCGGACTCACTGAGGCCCTGGTCCCAACTAACTCAGCCTAAAAATCTCAACACTGGGTGGACCTCCCTGGAAGACGAGCTAGCAGTACTGTCTGCGAAGCACTGTCCCCAAGACTTCAAGCACTCAGACACCACCCCAGGCACATGGACCTAGTACTTAGTGGAGCAGAGGGGAGAATCTCTGTATCATACTAGATACATCTTGTATATAAACCCAAGTTATACTGAGCTAATGTCCGAGAAATCCAACGGTGTTAGGGATGGATAGAAATGGACAGAACAACATAGAACAAAGGAAACAACAGAAAACATAAAAATATATAGGAACGGCCACACAATCGATAAACTCCGACGATCTCCACAACGGCTGCACCAAATCTCCCGATACTGGACTCGTTCTACTCGTCTTGATGATAGCTTTCCAACAATACCAAGTGCGTCTAGATCGGAGAAGAACTGGGGGAGTTATGGTGAAAATACTGTGAAAGCGGCCCGGTAACATGTCCGGGTGGGCCGTAACCTGGTCTGAAAAATTATCAAAAAATACAACGATGATAGGGGAGGTTCAACAAGCTTTGGGGGACTGGGGTACTGTGTGTCAGGTGCGAGGTAACATCTGTAGGCCATGATATAGCGGTGTCGGGGTACTACCAGCTTTTCCCTCCTTCAATGGGCGTACCGGCAACGGGGTATATGACCGTTCGTTGGGCGAACGGCCAATGATCATGTCAACAGGTACTTGGCACTCGTACAAGCATACCGGTAATGGGGAAGGTAGTTGTTCAAAGGTCAAACAACACATGGTGGGGTCAGCAGCTACTTGGCACTTGCAAGAGCATACTGGCAGCGATGTTGGTGGGCCTGACTCATGTATGAGTCCATCCATAGAGTTGGCCAATTCCTCACCATGGAGTGAGACAGATGAGAGCCCTGTGCCTGTGCAAACGACATGAGTTGTGACAGGAGACATATGCGCATACCTGAGTTGAGTCATGCATGAACTTGACAACCTATGGCTAGAGTTGTCACCCTCGGTAGGGATGACCCATATAGGTGGTAACCGAGACATTTACAGCTGTACACAGTCATTTACAATGTTGGCACAAGGAGGTTTACAGAAGTTGCACAGTTGGTAGGAGTATCTGATTGTAGTTGAGTTCTCATCTCTCTCAGCTTGAGCTGTACATGAATGTGATGCTAACTACTGAATGAGTAAGGTCATGAGGAGTCTCATGAAATGGAATAACATACTGGCCAGCACCAAAACCCCAATAGGGGAAAGCTTAGCATGGGGTGGATGTGTAAGAGGGGGGGGGGAACAGGGAGAAATATAAGGAAGAGAAAGGAGGAGATGGATAAGGAGGTGTCAGGGCATACACCCTGACCTAGCCCATACCCGCATCCACACCCGCACTCACACCTGCACCCACACCCACACCCACACCCACACCCGCACCCAGCTGTTGCACTTCTCACACGCACCCTGTGCCGGATGCTCAGTGTGGCCAGATGGCCCAGACCTTGGGTCTTGGGTCTCATGTGACTTCCAGATATCTCCGGAAGTTTTTGATCTATTGTGGCCACTGTGGGAAGATGAGAAGTTAACTTCCTTCTCATCTCTGACCCACAGTAGGATTGTGCCCTGGATAGGGCTGGCCAGACTTGAGGCTGTGGGCCATAGGGGAGGGTCATGGGGACCTGGGAGCATGGACTCTCCTTGCTCGTAGCTTTCCAACAGTACTAATTTCATCCAAATCCATCCAGTGGTTCTTGAGATATGCCCGGAATTGGGTGGCCGCTACATTGACAAGCGTGGGAATCTTGACTGTAGGGCTGGAAATGCATCAGAAAAATTGGGAAAAATAGGGAAATGGTAGAAGGGGTATCTGGGACTGTGTATAAAGTGCCTCGGGTATGGGGTGTTCATCAGGGTGTCAGGATAGTGATTTCTGGGCTTGTTTGTATGGTAGCAGAGATTCCTGCCTACAACGTCTGAGAATTCCTGTTCTCAGTCAAATCTCCACCAAATTTCACAAAATCGGTATCGTTAGAAAGCTATGGATGAGGAGAGTCGAATGAAATCCAGGGACAGAGTTTTGACGCGATATTGGGAGTGGTATTAGGAAGTTGGTGTTTAACATTTCATTCTTCTTTTGTTGTTTGGGAATTTATTCAAAGCCAACAGTAACCGAGCCTTATCGCCATTATTGGTGAAAGCTTGGCTTAGCCGAACCATATATTTCAGAGTCTTTCCATTATTGAATATTTGCAGTATGAGTATATGTACATAGCGATTGATACCGAAACAGAGATTTCCCCCCTCCCACTACTTTTGAAGTCTGTGTTGTGAGTGGCCACATGATTGGTAAAGGGCTATTGTGACCTTTAGGGAAATCCACCACAGAAAGAAGATAAGCAAGAGTTACCAGAGTTATATATTCCCCGAAATTCCATCCCCCTCCCTGTTGAATATACAGACCTGTTCTACTGCAACACCCTTTCAGCCCCCCTTTTCTTTCTTCCCTAGCTCTTGGGGAGTGAGCTGGAGTGCTACCTTCCATTTTCTGGTCCCATAGCCAATTCCCGCTTGCAACAGTAGGATAGGTGAGTGCTGTAGCGGAGTTAACTTCCAAACCCCCATTTTTGATCTGTTATCACAACTTCCCCATTCATTCATATTTCCTTTATTGTTTCTCTGTTCCTGATTGGACACTCTTTATTTATGGCCACCTATTGGGCTGTACACACTCTCTCATTCCATTCATTTCATTTTTAGCTCATATAAAAGAGAAATACCTTGTACATAACAAGTTAGTACTGAATAGACCAGTACCCAAGTGAAAAAGTAGTTGCATCCAAGTGGCAAAGACACCATCCACATCCCCTATGACATCCTACACCTGCTTGAACTCTATCTCCCACTGAATCTCAGCCTTGATTGTTACGGGGATGGGGGGAAATCCCCAATCCTCGATCTGTTCTTATAGCAGGATGATGAATGTCGTATCTAGTCTGTACCATAACGGGATATGTAATCGATGAGTGATCCCAGTCTTGCAAGGGAGTGGACGATCGAATTCCCATCGATCGTGATTGGTGATGTAGTGAGCTATTAAGGAATTGATGGTAGGTAGTCAGAGACGTCATGACGGACGTGTCAGCCACGGGTACTTGGTGCTCCTCAATGGAGCGTACCATGTGTGAGGTCGTGACTCGTGAGGTGGGTGAGGACTTCATATATCTGCCATCGGGTACTTGGCGTTTGCAGCGCGAACGTACCGGTAGCGGGTTGATATCATGAGCGTGCAATGAGGATTGACTAACGGGGCCTTCGGTGACTTGGCGTTCCCAAAGGGAACGTACCGTTGGCAGGGGAATATGATGACTGACGAAGGAGGGAACAGACGGTGGATGGGCGGCGTTCGCATAGCAAACGTGCCGGCATCACGGGAAAGTGGACCTCAGAGCATTCACGATCTCCAAGATCGTGATGTGACGTCGTCTGTCAAGCACTGGGGGGAGAGCGGAGTGATGAAGTCCCATAGGGTACAGGTTCCATAGGATGATACACAGGTCAGGAGTCTTTGACTCGTGACCACGAGTTCTCACGGCGAGGACCATTAGAGGACTCGACATAACCAGGCTTATATGACATGTTGTGAGTTGTACAGTCACATGGTTCAGTTGAGTCACAGGATGGGTTGTACAGAAGATGGCACACAAGACAGTTGTAGAGAGTAGTTGTTAGTTAGCGGGAACCGCCTTCGGCGGTTTCCGTACAAGACGCATGACTATCTACAAATGGTAAGGTCACGGGAAATCCCGCGAAACACAAGTAACCTCGGCCAGCACCAAAACCCCAATGGGGAAAGCTTTGCACGAGGGGGGGAAAGGGGTAGAACGGGTAAGGAGGATAGGGTATCGGGATAGAGGATGGAAGGGAGAAAAAGGGGGGGAACGATAGAGAGGAGAAGTCTTTGACCATGCAACGGATATGGTCGTTGGAGACTCCGTATCCGTAACATTGATGTTCAAGAGAGGCATAGGTGAGTTTTTTAGATGAAGATTTCATAGTCCCAGTAGCACCAGGACCAACCCACCAAACACCAACCTGTACCCATCTCTTCTGTCTTGAGTCTTGGCGATAGACCTGTTACACCATGTCCTTCACAGATCTTGTATCCCTTGCAGACTCCAACAACCTCCAGAACAGCCCTGGCACACTATCTAGTGCCCTGGAACCCCCTAGTTGAGCCCATCTCCATGCCTCCATTCCTGTAATCACCCCTGACACCCCCTATGGTCATCACCCTCCAATTCAATATATTACCTATGCCACCCTGGTATTGGACCCCCTGGGGTCTTCCAGACAGCTCTGATGTCTGCAAGCACACTTCCACCCCTGCTAGGCCATTCAGTTGCTTGCCCTTCAAGTCCACCCTCAGTCCTCCCACCCCTATTCCCTTCTGGGCGACCACCTGCCTTCCCCTTAACCTGAGTCATGGGTAACATTTAGTTTACTAACCCTTGACAACCTTAAGTCAGCAAGACCTGGTGTCAGATAGTGTGATTCCAAGATGAAGGTGCAACTCAAGTGCAGAAGGCTATAGCCTCAGCAACTCAGTCTGGAGTGCTGTGCCCAGCTATCACATCTGGTGAAGGTTCCACCAAAAAAAAAAAAAATCTCACAGACCATATCTCTGCCATGTCCCCACTATTCCAGACAAGACCAATATCATTCAAAAGCATTTGGGTAGAAGTATTTAATGCCCATTTTCCTGAAAATTTTAAGGCAATTCTACTGACCTTGACAAAGAGGATGGAAAAAATTGGAGAGGTATTGTGGGCTTAACCTGACAATCTCACGGACCATATCTCTGCCACATTCCCACTATTCCAGACAAGACTGATATCATTCAAAAGCATTTTGGCAGAAGAATTCAATGACCCTTTTTCCCAAATTTCTTTAGCCATTTCTTGCTGACCTTGACAAAGAGGATGGGAAAAATTGGAAAGATTGTGGGTTGAACCTGAAAATCTCATGGACCATATCTTTGGCATGTCCCCACCATTCCAGACAAGACTGATACTTTTCAAAAGCATTTGGGCAGAAGAATTCAATTGCCATTTTTCCTGATTTCTTTTTTTTATCAGTTTATTTTATTTTTTGATGGAACCTCAGTAGCTTCCACTCTGTGTGTCACAACCTGGCTTAAACCCTGGGGTTCCATTGGCTGTACAACCTCCTACCAAACCCCCACCCATGTCTGACCACTATCTGAACACTGTTAGATACCAAGGACTTTGGCCTCAGTGCTGTGCAACTGCTGTTGTCAGGGGTCCTTAATTATTTCAAGGCTATGGTGGTTGTCTTACTAGGGGGACTCAAGGATGTTTGTTCTAGCTTGTGATAGGGGACAAGCAACACTAGGTCGGACCCAGAATGGTCCGGAGTCAGACCAAAGGTGGTGTCGGAGCTGGAGGTGGGAAAACCTTTTGGGAGTCGGCAAGGAGAAGGTGATGGAAGGGAAGTGGGGCTCTGGAGTCGGTTTCAGAGTTCTGGGAGCCTGGAGTGGAGGTCGGGATTGTATGGATATGACAGTATTGTCATTAAAAGAGAAACTAGACTAGACTAGGCATAGAATCATAATGGCCCCCATGTTGAACCCATAATGAGAATAGCTGCACATTGAGTCTCCTTACCTCCAGGCTTTATGGAACGTTCTCGGCACTTTTGCCGCTTGTACTGTATCTTTCGCACTTTCCCCTCATCCCTATTTGGACTACTGCTTCCTTCCATTTTAGCCAGTTAGTCATCAACCCCACTTCACCTCATCCTCCTGCCCCTCTGGGCTTCGCCCTCCCTACCTCCTTTTGGACATACCATAGAGTCTAACCCATGACCTTCGGTACCGCTCCGCTTCCATAATTCCCTTTGTCTCCATTTGGACGCCTTTGTTCCGATTCAGACCCACTTTGATTTCCTTGTGCTTTCATCTCTCCATTATATGTAGGCGCTTGTACATACTCAATTAGACCCTCAGTCTAAAATCGACTAGAAATGCCCCCTAGAGACTTCTCACTCATCGCTTCTGAAATTAAGGACCAAATGGACAAACAGCAATGGCACAGCACTGTAGGCGGCACAGCCGGTACCATGCAAATGAGCCGATTATCGTGATTCTACCACCTGTGTCAAGCACCCCACTTCCGAAACACATCTACCACTGTTCCACATACCCCTTCCACATTTCCCATATTTTTTTCCGATTTTTTTCAAGCCATTCCTGACCATGGACAACCATCAGTTTCCAAATTGGGTAACTGTCACCCGCATATTCCGCCGCTTCCTCCATATCTCCATCAATTCTCCACCGATCTGGACGAATTTGGTATCTTTGGAAAGCCCTTGTTAACACAAGTCGAACAATGTTACGAGTGACGCATTTGGTTCAGCGGTTGTTCCGATCACCATGTTTCTTTGTTTCCTTAACAACATCAATATTTCTTTGATATTACTTTTTTCTTATTTGTTCCTTGTGGATCTGTTGCTGTCCTAAACCTGTCGGATCATTCGGATTTCCACGCATATTTCTTCATATTTATAACTGCCTCTTTCCTGTATTTACAAAGAGGACTCCCCCAACAGAGAGAGGTGCTCCCCAACAGACATGAAGTTCTAGCAGACGTTACTGTCAGGGACACGTTGTAGGAGTGCATAACAGGTGTGCTCAAATTCATGGAACCTTACACAGCAAATACATCAAATTGGGCTCACCCTGCCAGTATTCCGACCTTACCTCCAGTTCCTGAGCCCTTGGCGCTCCCGGCATTCAGTCCCTCCAGTTCCTATGCCTGCCTTGTCTCCATCTGAACCACACTCATTGCTTCCCGCTATGTGGTCACAGCCATGCCCCGCTTCCATGCATTCCACACCCTCTGCCCACTCCGCACCCTCTGCCCATCTCTGCACCCCCTGGCCACTTCTGGTTGCCCTTGACACCTCTGGTCAGGTCAACACTCCCACTCCCCTCTGTATCTCTGTTGGCCTTCATGCTGTCCTTGTGTGACAGTGCTGACAGATCAACCTCTGTTCGTGGACTTGTATCGGTGCCGTGTGCTGACCTCCGCTTTTGTCCTCTGGCCATTTTTGTCACTTGGCAACATAACATTCATTCCTTGCCGAGTGCCTATTATGTTCACCCCAATATTGGCATTTGATCCATGTGCTATTGCACTTTCCTATTCATTCATTTAATCTGTCAATATTGGTACCTGATCCACTTTGACTTTATTCATTCCTTGCCTCCCATTTCCCAGGTTCTTGTCCTTGGTTTAGTTTGACAAGTCCCAGCTCATTTCCGCTCATTTCTGCACCGGACCGACCAGTCCCTCTTTTGATTTCTCTTACCTACTTATACCTTGTAAAGACTTTCGGGGACCCCAGTCTGAAATCAACTAGAGTACCCCCCCTGTCTGGTCTGAGTCTCTCCTTCTGCAAAGGGGGCTTCCCCCCTCTGAGTCCGTGCTCACGGAGTCCATGCTCCTCCTACAGGTCCACTCCACCCGCAAGTCTTGTTTGAAGTCCGCTGTAAGTGTCAGTCTGTAAATATGGGATCTCCCCCAAACGTCAAGCTCAGGGCACAGCGCTCCACCTGAGTTGCTGAGGCCACAATCCCACTCTGCTAACCTTGAACAGCACTTCCAGATGTGCCGCATATTTCCGCCTGCACATCCGCATGCACACGCTCCAACAGACCTCTGCATCACCTCTGACCCCGACTCAGACAGAAACCCAATCCATCTTCCATCCATCTTCTGACAGTCTGCCCGACTCTGACAATAATCCAGAACTCTGACACTTGGTCACTTCGGACTTATCCGTGAAGGCCACAAACTATATTCAATCTTTTGAATTAGTTTCTTTTTCCCTCAGTTCTCATGCATATAGTGAGACTGAGGTTAGTTACCTTCTTTTCATTTCTTATATCTTATACTCATTGTATATTACCTTATAGCTACTATCTACTAGAGCAAGCGGTTATTCCATTATGCTCTACTGAGGACTTTGATGATGATACAGTGAGGGAAAGAGGGTGAAAAAAGTGATTTGAGATGGGTGAACTCATCAGGAGCTAACATAGGCAGATGATCAGAACAAAGATGAGTAATATGTGAATCTTGACTCTGACATACAATTCTCCCAGCCTGAGTTCTTTCTCATCTTGCATTGGTGCTTGATCTCCTTACCAAATAACTGAGCATGTTCATGTGGATGCACTTGCTCTTCAAGGGCCAAATAAGGTGAATTCAAGTCTGTAGGACCCTCACTTTGTTGTGGTATCTTCAGCACTTTTTGTTGAAGTTATCCTTTTCTTTCTATTCAATCTCACTCCATATGAGTCACATGACTACTGAGTCAGACTTTACTGTTTCTACTACTTGTATAAACACTAAAGTCATTCTCAGAGGTGCCATAACCTGAGTTACAACACTTTTTCATGTTAATACCCCCAATTCCATCCTTGTTGACTTACTTCTTCTGCTCCAATGTCATCTTTGGCCACTTGGCCTCATCTGTGCTCAATGAGAACTGTGGATGCTTCCTCTTCAATTTGATAAACTGTCAGGGCACACACCCTGACTAGCCTGGACCCGGACCCACATGTGTGCCTCCGCCCTGCATGCTCCGCATGCCGCATGCTCCGGGCCCGGTTCCTACCCTTCATGTGACTTCCGGGTATTGTATCTCAGCAGGATACCTCAGTCTGAGTTGTACTTTAGTGTTATTACACAAGTAAGAACAGTAAAGAGCGACTCAGCAGTCACATGACACTAAGTAGAAGTGCAGATTGAATAGAAATGAAGAGAAATAACCACAACACTCCCCCTCAATCCAGCTCCTGCTTTCTGAGCCCTAATAAAGAGCATTGGTATTGGTGAAGGTCTCTAGGTAGAGCCTTAGTAAAGATGTCAGCAGAATTGTCCTTGGAAGCCACCCATTTAATCTCCAACCTCCCTAAATCAACCTGGTCTCTAATCCAATAGTATTTCGTCTCTATGTGCTTCATCCTCCCATGGTGTTCTGGGTTTTTGATGACTTTGATAGATGACTGGTTGTCCATCTGGAGAGGGAAGGATGAGCCTTGAGGATATCCAAGTTCTTCAAGTAAGTGTGTCATCCATGTTCCATCTGAGGCCCCAGCATTTGCAGCATAGAGCTCTGCCTCTGTGGTGGACTTGGCAACAACATCCTGTCGTCTACTGGACCAGCTAACACATGAGGATCCAACAAAGGAGACATATCCTGAAGTCGATAATGCTTTTACAGCATCCCCAGCATAGTCTGAGTCTGAGAACACTGAGAGGGTGACTCCCCCAGAAGGTGATGTTCCCAACTCAAGGCAGAAATCAGAAGTCCCTTTGAGATACCTGAATACCCTTTTATTATAACTCAGCAGATAGCACAGTCTGAGTCGACTGAGCCAACTTTAATGTTATTACAGAAGTAAGAACAGTAAAGAGCAACTTGGAAGTCACATGACACTAAGTAGAGCATAGATTGAATAGAAAATGAAGAGAAATAACCACAACACCTTTGGATTGCGTTCCAGTGAATCTTCCCTGGGCAAGAGTTAAATCGGCTCAAAAGACCAACAGCATAAGCTATGTCTGGCCTTGTCCCAATTGCCAAGTACATGAGGCTACCAACTGCACTCAAGTATGGCACACCAAGCATAAAATCCTTCTCCTCCTGTGACATGTCCTCGATTTTGGAAAGGGTGATATCAGGGTCAAGGGGAGTTACTACAGGTCTGCAGTGCTCATGATGGAAGCGTTGCAGGATGTCTAGGGTGTGTTTTCGTTGGGAGAGCCAAATCTTGCGATTTGCACGATTGCGATGGACTTCCAGGCCAAGGATGTACTTTAGCTCCCCCAGATCTCGCATCTCAAACTTGGACTTAAGCTGTGCTTTCAGAGCAGTTAAGGCAGCCAAGTTGTTGCAAGCCAGTGTGAGGTCATCAACATAAACAGGGATAATCACTTTCACCTTGTCCTTGGCCCAAACCCAGATAGAATTGTCACTAGGGCACCTTTTGAATCCCATATCAGAGAAGGTTTCATGCA